TTGAAAGATTATATCGTTTGATATTGCGTAAAATTGAAAAAGCGAAATTAATTAGTGATTTAATAATATTTGGAAATGCGGGGGAGGGGAGGATTTTGAATTTTTTAACTTTTGCTCTAATGGCCGTGTTGCGCTAGTGAATATTCGATCTGTCAGGCTCCCTCAAGATCCTCTACAAGATGCTGGACCGAGATGGATCTCCGAGCTGAGAGGATTCGCGATCTTGCGAAATCGGCCGTTACGAATGAAAGGTGGACGTAGGCGAATTTTACGGTAAAAGTCGAAAAGACCCGCGAACGATTAGTCAATCGGTTCGCGTGGTTTAGAACGAAGCAACCGGTTTTCGAACCGGATGACTCAGATGGTTAAAAAGGACCGGGAGGCTGGAGGCAGCGGGAGGAGGGATACTTTGGCCGCGATAATTTACTCTGGTGCATAGATACAGGTATAGCGAAGAATCACAATAATCAAGTCAGCTGGTTCGAGTCTATGTAAATCTAAGGGAATTTGTTTTCTTGAATTTCTTTTTCTGCTTCTTCACTTCACCGACCGTGTGTGCTTGTCCTTGTTTATTTTATTCTTTCTTTCCCCCCTTAAAACTCTACTGCCAGCACACCCACGAACATCAGTACTTCCTCGTTACCGTTAGTTGAATTATTTGATTGTTCCGTTGAACCTCAATTATGCTCTGAACGTAGCCGCAGGTTCACTGCTGATTCCGTTTCAACAAAGAACAATGGTGAGCCATGTTAAAATACTAGCGAGGCTATGCTTTTGGTTATAACGATCAGTGTAGTTAATTATTTTGATATATATATATATATATATTGTTATTTAATCCATAGCAAAATAATAGGTCTACTGGTATCGGTTTAGTATCTGCATTCGTTATTCTGCCACCCTGATATCCCGTATACAACCCTGCTACAGCTGTCTTCCTGGTATCTTATAAGAAATCATAGTTCGGTCTCTCTTGCACTCGTTGCACGTCCGTAAGGAAGTCCAATACTGGCTAGCGGACACCAGTCGGACTGCAAGGTACGTTGAAAAGTTAATGAACGAGTTTATGGTTGCCTGTCTGTTTATTATGGTGCGGTTTAAGGCTGCGAATAAATGAAAGGGGGGGAACAGTCAACATTGAACATTGACGTGGTACGGGAAAACATGGAGGTTGCTATCCCGTCAGAGGAAACGTATTTTCTGGTCATGACGACCTCACGGTGGTTCCGCACGGCCTGGTATTCGGATCAAGCACGCTAAATGTAGCACGAGCTGTACTCGGTTCACGTGTATTTCTATTTCGTGCACATGAACTAGCTACGTGAACGTGGTGAACGCCTAGGCGTCATTGTTCCCTGTAAAAAAGCAGAGAGAGAGAGAGAGAGAGAGACCTCTTGGGTTAGGCTTAAGGTGGCGTTTCGCGCCGGGCCAAGGACCGACGGCCGTCTCTTGTGCCTCGGCTGAGATCTATTTTAGGTTAGAAAAATCATGCCAGGGACTTGCCGCGTGCAATTGGTCTTCAAACAGATATCATTATTGGTTGTCTGCCTTGCAAGATGGCTGGAAACGTTCTTAGACACTGGCATCTTGAAAAGTATGGAAGTCGGTAAGCAGATCTTGTAACGGTTATATGTCAACTATATATATATATATATATATATATATATATTAGCCACCATGTTAAAGTTACGTAAAAGTCGACATACTTGGTCGACTGTGAAAGATTGTAGGAATTTGGAAAAAATTATTTAATAATGAAAATTGACTAGTGGAACGTCACTGATTTTTAAATTTGCCGCGCAATTCGAAAGCTTCGGGTTTACGTTGCTGCGTTTAGGAATCGTACCAAATCGAAAGTAGATAGTACACGATGGGTCATGGCAATGATGTCATGAGGTGGAACTGAATGTGTTGGCGTGGGCGATTATTAAGAAAAAAGAAAAAAAAGAAACTTGTTGATATATCTCTTATGCATATATTACAGGTAGGAACATTGCAAAATATATCCGTATGCCATTTTATTTATCCGTTTGGAATTAGAGAAGTTGAGCTGAGATTGAACGTTTGATTCTGAAGATATTTCAAAGCCAACCTAACCTAACCTTCCGTATCAAACCATAAGAATAACAGGATATTTTCTTTCTTCGCGGAAGAACAATCCTGCTCGCTAAATTCACTTGGTCAAAGGTCATTCCTGACCTCTTTGTTTCGAGGGTCGCAGGGGAGTTTGCGAAAAAAAAAAAATTGTACGCGACTCAAAATTCCTAAAATTAATTTCCTTCCTTAGCAGGAATAACGGCTGTAAGGTCGGAACACGTGGCCAACGCGTGATACGCAGCATATTCAAATTTACGCAGATCTGAGAAAACTGAGACGGTAGAGTCGTGAGTGTCAGGGTGCGTCAACCAATGAATAGTATCGATCCCAAGGATCGCACTGTGTGTTCGGATTGTCGCGGTTACCTGCTTTCATACTTTTCCATTCACCACGACTGCCTTGAATGTTTTGCCTTCGTCGGGGATTCCCCGTTGGGGACAGGAAACTTACAGCAATTAACTTACTCAAGGTAGACCCAGCCGATATTAATTCCTCGATCGATCGGTCATACTTAACGTTTAGGTTTAGGTTAGGTTTATCTTGAATTACGAGATGTCAATAACAATCAGTGTCGACGAACCTTACGTAGTACCGCTTTTGTATAGCTTTATTATATTTCGATATTCCGACCGAGTCAAATCGTGACACGTAGTATTAACTCCGTTATAGTCCTTGAATGTGATTATTTCTGGTATGACTTCTAGCTGTCAAGCATATATGTATGTATATGGATTTATTAATATCATATCCGGCATACTATACGCTTGGTTTATCCGATTTATCGGTCTAATCCATCTTCTTGGACCAGTGTATTATTCCGTCAATAGATACAAATATGAGACTTAGCATTTCCTCCTTGTTAGCTGTGGTCATTCTTTTATATACAGGGTTATTCGGTACAGACGTACCGTCTGAAGCTAGCGCGCTCATTTGATTCTTATGGCGAATCCATGTTCAGGTGGTGCGTTTGGACTGAGCGACTGGGTAGACCTGTACTGGGAGGTATCCGGTACAGAGGAACCGCGCGAAGGTGGTTTCTGTTGGTAAATTAAAGGAAGAGGCTAACTTCAGGTTGGTACGTCTGGTCAAGAACAGTAATTTAAAATATTAATCCGATTGAGCGAGAAAATGACAGCTCGTTCTTGTTTTACTATACTGTCTGTTGAATATGCGAGTTTCCGCTAGACGTAATACCGATTAAATACGTGGTAGTCCGGTTACCGATAAGCAGATATCTGTAACGTATGGAATACATTGTGGTTTCTTATCTTCTGTCGTTAACCGTAAGAGCACGAGTGGTGGGTATGTTCCGTAGATATTATATCAGTCTACGATTCATATAGCAGACGGTGCTAACGTGTCGTGTCAAGGTGACGGTCAGTAATAATTTTGCAAGGTCAATAGATCAGGGTGTGTATCGGTAATATTAATCGGCTATGAATGCTTGATATCAATTTTGAATTTGGCGCCCAAAGTTTCGGCCACTGCTGTGCTCAAAATAAATATTCAACGTTCAGAAGTCAATCGTCTCAATGACTTTGAATTATCGTACTATCTTGAATAAATATTAATAAAGATTTTTTTTTTACAAAATGGCGAAACTCAATGACGCTGCGCTCGATGCGATTGCATATCAATGAAGAATGTCGTACGTAAAGGCCGTGTTTATGGGGCAAAACACTAATTTTATTGAACGTCTCGTTATATCGGTTTATGTGTATTCGCGGCTTTGATATCGTTCGACGATGACCTCGTGTTCATTATTTGCTTCGTCAAAGTGATCGCACGTAAACGCAAAAAGCCAAAGGGGCGCCTGCTAATTCGCGATTACGTTTATTCCTGCGAAGAGGAAACTTTTATTTCTGAACACTCGTGCGCCTCGTGTGCATCAGGCTTTGGGATACTGAAAAATATTACCGCCCTGATTTCCAGTGACTTGGGAAAACGAAGCGGGCTGATTTTAATTCCCTGAGGGGGACTGAGACCGACCTCTCCCCCCCCTCCTCCCCCTCTTTCCGCCCCCCTGCGCTCGGGTCTTCAATGTTTTGACGCAGCCGGCACGTAGGAAGGATTTGTGCCAGGGACTGCTTATAGAAAGTTAAATATTCCCGTCTTGCATTTGACTTCATCCGTTTCGCAGAGCCAATGAAAAGTCACGGAAAAAGAGAGGGTAGGTTTCGAAATCCAACGAACATATTCTCCTACGTACAGTCAATTCTTGGACGTGAATTTCTTAGTTTTGTTTTTGCTTTAATTTGTACTCGAAGAAAATTGCCGGAGAATCATTAAACAGGATTGCGAGTTTCTACGTTATCTTGGGAAGTACTTTGCTTACGTGACAACGAGTGCTTTTGTTATTTTAACATCCGCCGTCGTCTTCGCGTTGCTGGACATTGTTGACGCTTCCCTCTTTTATCATCGACTTCAAAATTTCAAACGTCGAGCCAGCAAATGTCAAGCGAGATGTTATCACTCGATTAGGCTTATCTATGTTTTTCTATCTATATTCCCGCCAGTCGCCTAAAAACAATAATACGATGTCATCGGAGACACTTCCACGTTTGAATTTCGCGGCAATTCCTGACTTACCCGACACGCATTTCTATTTTTATGTATTCTTCATCCCCACCTGGCAACCCAACCACCAAGCAACGCTCTTCGTTCGTGTTTACGATCAGCTGCGACGATTCAGTGGAAATATTTTCAGAGTACAACGCACTCCGTAAAAATCCAATGCGTTAAATAATAACAATTAAAACGTCACAAATACCGCGCTGTAGTATTAACACCAAGCTTCGCTGATACATTAACTATGCAACATCCGGGGGGGGGTCACAAGTCAAAGCATATTCAAGTATGGGGAAGCGGATATAAAAATAACAAAGCTTTTCTGTCGTCCGAAGGATCCCGAAGGTTCCCGAAGGTCTCCGAGCCGGCCGTATACCAGAATCGGAATCGTATTTCCACGGACGAGGTTAACCTACGAGGACGATATACTCCCTTGGACGTTTTCACGAAGCTAGCCGAGTGCCCGGATGATATTTCATCGCACCAAGAGACTCTCGGCAAATAGACGTCACCACGTGACGCGTTAGACCTTACAGCCGCTTTTAATACGATGAGCATCGACTCGCAGCTTTTCCATTGAAATGCTCGACGATTTTATTGGGTAAAATCGGCGCGTGGAGCATCTGCTGGAATAACGACTAAGGAGGGGGACACACCTGGTTGGCATCGCGTTTCTGATTAATTCCACGTGGGACCGATTAACAGAGAGACTGCCTGTCTGACTGGCGCAGCTCCTACAGTATGGATTATTCGTATATCTAATAGTTTCGTTCGCGCATGCGCATCGTCTAGTTGATTTTATAACAGCAATTCTCCCGCACGCGAACGACGTTTTACTTGGCGCGATTAACGCTTGCGGCCAGAATTCATTTTTCACGCGCAGACGTCACGGTTAAATGGATCTTACGTGGAATTAATATACTTTGTTTCCTTGTACCGTGATTTTCTTTAATGTATGAAAAAACGATTTTCTTTAGTCCGTTATGTAATATTCATATCTTACGCGCAGACGCGGTCATTCGTAACGACTCTGACACTTTGATGATTCGTAGAGTAGAAGTGGAGCTTTTTATCTTTATTGTTTTAAACGCTTCCTGCTTACCCTCGTCTCTTTCGGTATATCAATTCTAGGACATAAATAACTCGCGGGAATGACTCGCTGTAAATTATCGAATACGGATTTTCTCTCTTGATGTATTTTGCCTTTAGTGGATTCTTCTTGGGTGCGCTGTTCGTGGTGAAATGTGGGAAAACTATTAACGACATTATTTTGGTACCTATAATTTATTAGCAAATTCGAAATTTTAAGTGATCGCGAAAAATCCAAATTCTGTGAAAACGTCGTGGAAATATTTTTTAAGGGAGCACACAATTATCAAACGAAAGTAGAATGTCCCTCTTGCTGTTAGTCGACGTTGAAGATTTGCAAGAGACGAAGAAATTCATTGATTATCTTTTTTTTTTTTTCTTGAATACCTACGAGCGTCTTTTCTTCGTTGTCCAGTTTAACAACTATAAGGCACAGCAACCGTCTTCAATCGAATATTTTTAACAAGGAAAACTTTACATACGTATAATCGTAGTGTACCCACGTGTTTTCTCGAAAGGTCCAGTTTGATGCATTCAAGAAAAAAGTGCCAACTTTTCTTTGCCAACTTTTCTTTGCCACCTAGTACCTGACTAGCGAGTCGCATTTTTGTTACCGTTGACTCATTTATTTTGTCTTTTTTCTGAATTGGTCCCCTCACGACAATGAAGTAACGGTGAATTCGTTGGACTCGACCAAAGTAAACCAGTTTTGAACCCCGGTCAACTTGCGCAAATAATCATTTGCCGTGCATTCGCAAATCGTTTCTATTCGCCATGCGAACCGCACGCGAAAACAAAACTTGGCCGACGGACGCGTGAAAAAGGATGGAATGTAAGATTACGTAAATTCCCAAGAGATTGCAAACGGGTTTACGAACACGTGCTCGCAGGATTTGTTGTGGCCGTGAGCGACGTCAACTTTGACACAAGCAACATTTTTACCATTGTTTACATTATAACCGTCGTTGTTCAATTTTTCTTGTTCTCTTGACGATGAAATTTTTAATAGCCTTTTTGTCTCAAGGATCAAACGTGTTCGAAAAAGAGCGTCTAACGGCAGACTATTGTTTTTTTTCTTTCTTTTCCTTAATATAAATTCAACTTATCGTCAAAGCCATCTCGTCCTGAAAAATACTAAATTTACGACTCATTGACGTCAATTATTGCTGGCACTGACAAATTCTATTTTACAGTCGACTCTCTCTTTTTTTTCCAAGCTACGCTAGTCAGGTCACGCTTAGTCTCTGTCGGTATTTTGAGTAAGGCTATTTTCATGAGGATTAACTCACTTTAGATTTTAAGATCATATTCAGCGGAAAGAGACGTAGCGGAAAAAAAGAGGGTAAAGGGTTGTTGGCTTTGACGAAAGGGGGGGGGG